ACACAAGGGAGATGATCACAAACGTTCTGTCTGCTCGCAAAAATTAGAGGAGCAATTGGCTAAGGAAATGGAAGAATGCAGGGCTGTGGGCTGGTGAGGTGGATCATCTCCATTATGGTTGACATGGGAGAAGACAGAGAATTAGCCAGTGGACAGACCAGGCACCACAGGCAGGCAAGAAAGGAAGCATTCACACATGGACAACACTAGATAGAAACACAGACAGGCTCCTGACCCATTTGCTTCTGTGAAAGAGGCAGGCAGGAGTGGGCCAAGGGAAGCTCGCCTGCGTTCCTCTAATTTTCTCTAATAGATCAGCATCCGCTGAGTTAGAATTTTTACAGCAGCAAACCATAGCCCAGTTCTAGGCAACAGCTACCCTGCTTTCAACACCAGAGTGGGGTGCCACCCAACGTGTTCTGGAGCATCTTCTCTGTTATCGCCTATCACTGATCAGAGATAACAGCAGAAGAAGCGAATACGCCAGATGGTCTCTCCCAGTGGACAGAACGTGGCCCGTGGAATGAAGTTTCCTCACTTCTTCGTTCAGAAATTTGTGTTTTCTATATTCTCCCAAGAAAGGCAAAGATGGGACCCAGAACTTCCACTCTTTTCAAATTCACTATTTCTCCTCTCTGTGGTTTTACTCCAGGTGTCTAGAAACCACCAAAGTTCATTGACTTCAGAGTTGTGAGCAAACATAGACTTTGACAGTGTTTTCTTTATTAACAGATATTTGAGGTCAATAGCTAAATGCTGAACCCACACAAGGAAAAGATCCTGCTCTCTCTTTAACAAGGCAAGACAGATCTCTGGTGAGTATTTAACCAGATCTAGCCTGATCTTTGAGCTTTGTACTGCTGCAGAACGTAGAAACTTAGGTCACGTGGCCTGAAGGGGAAACCTGATTGCTTAGAAGGAAAGGTGGAACAGAATCTGGAGTTTACTTGAAAGTTGCAAATATGCCAGCTTTGGTTGCATTTAAGAAGTACAACCTCATAGACAGTTCGACATTTTATTCTGCCTTTCACCAACAATGGCTCCACTGACCTTTGCATAATTCCGTCAAATAACATTCTATAAAAGAAGTTTTAAAAAAGAGATCACTTCCTTTTTCTCTCTGTCATACTCCTCGGTACATTCTTACATCCATCACAGCTTGAATGAATCAGTGCTTGAAGGGTTTTGTTGATTCAGAACAAGTGGTCTGGAATTTTTGCCATTTGGCTCTCTTCCTCCATGTTACTTCCGAGAGAGAGAGAGAGAGAAGAGAGAGAGAGAGAATTTGTTTTGGGTACCTGGACATGCTGTTTGCCTCGATAGGAGGATAAAATCACCGCACTGAACTTAACACCTTCCTTAGCTTCTATACTGCCTGTTTTTTTTCATCCTCTGTTTTCAATACTGCTTTTACATGTTTGCAAATGTGATCAAAATCCCTTCCCGTCTCTTAATAGACACAGCGAGAGCAGCTAACTCTTAAAACTAACAGGCAAAAAGAAGGACCATCACAGCTAAAGCAATAAGCCAACAGAGGATTAGCCACACAGCAGTTGACGTTTCGAAACCCTACCTTCAGGATTTCTAGGGAGGTAGTTCCGTTAACCCGGCAGTTGAAGGAACAAAGTATTCTTTACAACTAGCAGACATATAAGGTTTTGGAAACTTCATGGGCTGCAGTTGTGGTGGTTTGGCATACTCAGCTCTCCTGATCAGTGTGGGGGTGTAGACTGCGTGGAGAGAGCAAATTTAAATGCAGAATTGCCAGCAGTGACTATTGGAACAGATGATGAAACACAACCACTGCTGTCTTCCAAATTTGACAGAATGCATGTATTAACGGACTATATGAATGGATTCTATTAGAGATGGGCATGAACCTCCAAACTGGCCATTCCTGCTGGTTTGTTTCTCGGCCAGACAGGCGCTCATCATTCCCCAGCCCCTTCTCCTCTAGCAGGACCCACCCAGATGCAACACCTTGGATTCCCTGCCCTTTGGCCTTCGGGCATGGGATGTGAGTGGGCATCCGTCGGAAGAGGTGGGGCTGGGAACTACCAAACACCTGTTCAGCCAATAAATGAACTGGCACAATCTGTCGGTGCAGTGGTTTGTGCCCATGTCTAGATTCTGTTATTCATAAAGATACATACATTGTTGTGTATATGTCTCCATGGGTAAGGGTTAGGGTTCTTCTATTGCAACTCCTATTATCATTTTTGTTATTTCTAAGGATTCTCAATAAAAGTTTTTTAACAACCCAAATTCTGAGTAAGAACATGCTTCTCATGCAGAGAACATCCCAGGTTCTCTGCATGAGAATCTGGGATGTTCCAGGGGAACATCTGGGATGGTCACCAAGTCGTCCTTAGTAAAACTCCTGCCTGAAATTTTGGAAAAGTTGCTACTAGTCCAAGTAGCCCAAGCCTAACATCCTCTGTCCAGTGCCCTACAGATGTTTTGGACTGCAGCTGGCCTCAGTCCTACCCAACATGGCAAAAAGTCAGGGGTGATGGTCAGTGTGGTCAAAACCATTTGGAAGGTACCAGCTAGGGATATGCTAGCAGATAACAAAGTCTAATGTTGGGATGTTTTGGACTGCAGCTGGCCTCAGTCCTACCCAACATGGCAAAAAGTCAGGGGTGATGGTCAGTGTGGTCAAAACCATTTGGAAGGTACCAGCTTGGGAAACGCTAGCAGAGAACAAAGTCTAATGTTGGGTCCTGTATGGAACGGATGAAGTTTGGAAAAGTCTGGAAGCCCAAGGTTGGGGACCACTGTCATATGGAACGGATGAAGTTTGGAAAAACTACTTTTGCAGCCATGCTGACTAGGGAATCGGGGAGAGGGGTGTTGTTTCAAAGGGCAAATCTTCAAGATTTGCTGAAGAATGATCTTACTGCACCAAGCTGGGGGAGAAGCAGAAGGAGAAAAAAAGATGAGAGAGAAACGAACACTCCTTTTCAAATTGATCCTTCTAGTTTTGGGTAAGTATTCATTTCCTTTAGCACATGCCTTAAATATTTAATCCATAGCCTACGGGTGAGGCACTGCAATGAGTCAGATGCTGCCTTCCGAATGATGCGTGCCACAAAACACCCAGCAATTCATGTTACATCATATAAATGCCAGTCATGTGACAAGATGTGTGTTTAAGAGGGTGAGGGCCATGGATCAGAGTGTGTGCACTTGGCAAAAGGTTCTGAATTTGATGCATTAGAGGCATTATTTCAATGTTTTTAAATTTCAAGTTCTGGAAGCCCCAGCTGTGCACAGCTCATAGTAAGGCATGATGACTGTAGGAAGCACACAAAGGACCTTCACTGTTCGGCTAGAACAGTGGTTCTTCACCCTTGGGTCTCCAGATGTTCTTGGACTAAAAGTCCCATAAGCCTTCACCACTAGATGTGCTCACCAGGATTTCTGGGAGTTGGGCCCCAAGAACATCTCAGTACCCAACGTTGGGAACCCCTGGGCTTGATAAACAGATAGTCTGATCTGGGTGTGAGTGGAGCTCAAAATAAAAATAATAAAGACCGTATTTGCAAAGACTGTCATGGCTTTCTAATGGTTGTTGTGGGTTTTTCGGGCTCTTTGGCCGTGTTCTGAAGGTTGTTCTTCCTAACATTTCGCCAGTCTCTGTGACCGGCATCTTCAGAGGACAGCACTCTGTGCTCTGGTGCAGTTTGTTTGGGAGTTGAGTATTGATAGCTGGTGGGATCAGCTTTTGTCCTTTTCAGGAGATGGGTGATTATGGTGAGTATCACAACAATACACCCAGAACAAAAACACACTGAGCCCAAAAAACCCACAACAACCAATAATAAAGAGTACTGTACTGGCAGCCCAAAAAAACCCCACAACAACCAATAATAAAGAGTACTGGCATTTCAACTCAACAAAATCTGCCCCCATAATTTACCTTCTCAAAACTATGGCTAGATTCTTATGTGCTTTTCTTAGAACTGAGGTTCCCAACTTTAGGTCCCCAGATGTTCTTAGACTGAATCTCCCAGAAGCCTTCACCACTAGCTGTGCTGGCCAAGATTTCTCAGAGTTCTGGTCCAAAAACATCTGGAGATCTAAGGTTGGGAACCACTGCCTTAGAACAACGTCTCATTGAGATCAAAGGAATTTGGCTTACTCCAAAGGATTTCTTACTCCTAGATAAGCATGCAAAGGACTTCAGCCTTCACATTAAAATAAGATCTTTGCTTTCTCTACTCACTCATCCTAGGCCTTCAAGGGCTCTGAGTGGAGAGATCCTGGTATTCTGGACTAGCCCTGGAGAAATCCTCTTTTGTCTTGCCTGCACAGCCAAGAATGAGGAATTTTAACACTCTTCATGGCCGTAAGGATAGCAAGGAATTTCCAGAGCAAGAACGATGCTTGGCACGCATGAATAATATTGCCTGCCGTCTGTGTAAAAGACCCTTGCTTTGTGAGAGAGAAAAGGCAGTCTATTTGAGAGTTGCACAAATTATCTTAATTTCCAGGATTACAATGCTGGATGTTTCATGTAAGGCTCTGAACCACTAGGAGGAATGTTGGCATCTTTCTGAGAGCCATATATTATAAAACTTGACTATTTGCCAGTGTGCTTTGCATCCCACAGAGAAGAGCAACGTTGTGTGCAAATGACAGAGTCCAAGGAAGAAGGAACTTTTCCATTCCCTCCTGAGCAGAGGCAACAAAGTTTGCATGGCTTAATTAAAGCACCTCTTCAAGGGGGTCTCATGAGGTAGCCGCATTTGCATGCCTTCGGAGGACACTGGCCTGTGCTTTTTCTCCGACTACTTCCTTCAGATCTCCTCTTTCCCTCTGCTCACTGCTGCCAGCACATTTCAGGGAAGAAGCAGTAGATGCACTTCACACAGAAAGAAGCAGACACAAAATATGCTGTCATCACTTTTCCCCCCTTCTCCGTCCTCTCCCTCCCCCCTTCTTCCTGCATCAGTCACATCACCGCCTGGCCTGCCTGCGTCACTCTCCGAACTTCTGCAAACCAGGAATGGGGGAAAACTCCCTTTCCAGTTGGTGTCTGGGGAGTGGCTAAAGGGAAGCGGGCTATTTCTTTCCTTTCTTGTTTTCACAGAACACACACGGAGAGATCAAGCTGGGCACAGCCGTTCTTCCTGGGCTGAAGACAAGAACAAAACTTCACAAACTCCTTGGTGAAATTTAGAAAGGGTTCGACACCCAGATCTATATCGCTCAGCATCCTGAGCGCATGGAATTCTTTTGGATCAGTGTCGTCTTGTCTCTGACAGTGGCTCATGGTAAAAAAAAATTATACTCCTATAAATTATCTTTTGTGGGAAAGCCCTTTGCGTATATACTGTGTGGGTGATGTGCCTTTTCTGGCTTGTAGTCCGATCCACTTCAACAACACCCATGAGATAAGGGTGCCTAAGGGTGTCTTCTCAAAATCAGAAGGGTAGTGGGTGATAGTGGTTGGATGGTACATCTTTTTGAGATTCTGAGTCTCCGGTTACTGTCTTCCCGTTAAAAGGAAGCGACTGTGGCCATATGGCATACGACTGTGAGTCGGTGAGGGTGAAAGAAGTTTTAAATTTCCTCAGTTTTTTTTTCTATGTCAGGAAAATGCAGATCTGCTGTGTATGTGTGTTGTGAACATAGAGAAACAAGTTGAAGGGGAGAAAGAAGTGATGTGTGATGTTTTGTTCTTGATTCTAGCAATTGGGGCTGGACTGGATGATCCATAGGGTCGCTTCTGGCTCTGCAGTTTATTGTTATTATTGGCATCAATTGAGCAAAAATTACCTTTTTTGGGGGGGTTGCAGCTCCTAGATTCTGGGATTTAGGGTTTTGACATTTAAAAAGGAACTTTTTCCAAAGCATTCTGGATCAGGAGCAGACCATAACACTAGACAATATATGGTATTCCACACAAAGCTGGATTGAACTCCCATTTAGCCTTAGCCATCATAGACAATGGTTGGGAATGATGGGAGTTGTAGCCCCACTGCATCTGGAGGGTCACAAGTCACTCACCCCTGTCCTGTTGGTTAAAATAAGAAAGTTAGGAGAAAGTTTGTGAAGAGAAACTTCTTATCCTTGCCGCTCATGGAGGCAGAAGCTCAACCGGTGATCGTTAGATTGTGGTTAGCTGAAACAATTCGACAGAGATAAATCACCCCTTTGCCCTTTATCAGCTAATCATGTTCTCTGTTTCTTTGTACATTTCTATGGGTGGAAGGAAGCTCCTCATTTATTTTGGTGAAGGTCATGTACATAAGAACAGACTCTGCCCCCACCCCGTGCACTAATTAAACTGAAATAACTTGCAGGCAAACTTTGTATCCTTGGCCACTAGCGAACAGAGGTAGAAATGCTTGCTGCATTTCTCTTAGCTTATTTTTTTGATTACTGTGACTTTGTTTATGCCTCACATAAATATGCACCCATTGTAATACAGCAGCCAAGAAAAGGGTTGAACAAGCAAGCGTTTGAACAACCCCAAAACCACCTTGTATTTGTCATTTAAATATTTCAAACTTAGGATCCCCTTCTATCCTACACAGCTGCAAGAGGATAGGACCGGGAATTAAAATGAAGCAGACTGCTTTGTGTAGATGAGGTGGGTTTCTCCCCATCTGCTTTTCCTATCAACATATGGCATGAAGGGGGAAGCCCTTTAAGCTGCCAGAAAAAAGCTAGGGAAGTGTGTACTCTCTGGAGGAGTTCATAACTGAACTCCTCATGGTGACTTCTGGACACCTAAATAATACAGAGAGTGTTGTATATTTATGGGGGTTTCATGTGGAGATCTCCATCTCGGGAACACCAAATAGAGGTTCAGCACACAGTTTGGAAACATTGGGGCGTTGAACTACATTTCCCAGAATCCCACAGCCAGCATGGTTACTGACTAAGGTAGTCTGGGAAGTATAGTCCAGAATAAGTAAATTTTACAAGTTCAGTGGTGCCCCACATAGCGAGGTTAATCCGTTCCGGATTAACCATCGCTATTCGGAAACATCGCCAAACGGAATAGAAAAACCCATTGGAATGCATTAAACTTCATTTAATGCGTTCCAATGGGCCCCAAACTCACCGTTCAGCGATGTTCCTCCATAGCGCAGGCATTTTCGCACCCTCGGTAAGCGAGGGCAGGGCACGAAAACGCTGCGCGTGGCCATTTTGGGTCTTCCAGCAGCCATTTTGGAACTGCCGATCAACTGTTCCCCCGACATCGCAATGCGAAGATCGGTAAGCGAAACGCTTACCGATCGTCGCAAAGCGAATTTTGCCCATTGGAACCATCGGTATGCGATCGCATTAACGATCCCAAAAAATGGATCGCTATGCGAATTCGTCATTAAATGGTGCGCTCGTTATGCGAGGCACCACTGTTTATGGTTCAGCCGAGAGTACAAAGGTGGCCAGGGTAGCCTCCATAACTCTGTGTTCCCTTTATGTGTCCCTTCAACAAGCAGAGAGGGTTATAGTGAGCCCTCCTTCAGACAAAAGTATAACCCTGTTTTTTTTTAAAAAAAAATCCTTCATTTGTGGAAATCTGGAAGTAAATAAAGCACCTATTCCTGCATGCACATTACCAAGAAATAAATTTGCCGGTGCAGCCCTCCCTTCTGCCCACAAAAGGGTGCAACTCATCCATGCTTCAGGAAGAACCATGACCCCACTTAGTCTTCCATTTAGCCGAAATGCACGAGGAGGGCACACCTCATGTATTCTCGTTGCTCTCCTTACACAGAGAGTGGTTTTGTGAGACCTCTGATTTCCAGCATTTCGGATACAGCTGCATAGATAAGGTTGCCTCCCTTCCATAAAATTGCTCGCTAGGTGAGGAATGCAATGGAGAAACATATGGGGATGAGAGAGGCTACCCCGTGACCGTGTCCATATAGAGAAAATGTACTCATCCATTGGGCTCATGGAAATATTGGTATGAGAATCATCGAATCAAAGAATAATGGAGTTGGAAGGGGCCTCTAAGGCCATCAAGTCCAACCCGCTGGTCAGTGCAGGAATCCAGATCAAAGCAGATCTGACAGAGGGTTATCTAATTTTATCTTGCATTGGAGCACCACCACCTCCTGCATTAATTGGTTCCGTTGTCATACTGCTCTAACAGTTAAGATGTTTTTTCCCGATATTCAGCCTAAATCTGACTTCCTGTAACTTAAGCCCATTATTATGTGTCCTGCACTCTGGGATGACCGGGAACGGATCCTGCCCCTCCTCTGTATGACTGCTTTTCAACCATTTGAAAAGTGCTCTCAGATCTCCCCTTCATTCTTCTTTGCTCGAGGCTAAAAGTGTCCACTTCTTTCAGTCTTTCCTCCTAGGGCTTCGTTTCCGGTCCCCTGATCATCTTTGTCGCCCTGCTCTGAACTTGTTTCAGCTTGTTGTTATCCTTCTTAGATGAGGCCTAACCAGTGATCAATAGAGGGAGACTAGTATCTGATGGGATTTGGAGACTGTACTTCTGTTAAGGCAGCCGAAAACAGCATTGGCCTTTTTTGCAGCCGCATCTCACGCTTGACTCAAACTCAGCTTTTGATCTACAACAATTCCAAGAGCTTTCTCACTGACAGTATCACTGAGCCAAGTATCCCCTATCTTGTAACTGTGCATTCGTCCTCCCGCCCGGTGTAGAACTTTGCCCTTGTCCCTGTTAAATTTCATTTTGCTGTTTTCAGCCCAGCGCTCAAGCCTATTAATATCTTTTTGAATTGTGTTTCTGTCTTCCAAGGTATTAGCTAATCCACCCAATTCTGTGCCATGTGTGTACAGATCAACCTCGACCTACAACCTGGATCTACGCGGACTGTCCATGTGAACGCTCCTACAGTGCCCAGCGCTCAAGCCTATCAAGATCTTTTTGAATTGTGCTTCTGTCTTCCAAGGTACTAGCTAATCCACCCAATTCTGTGCCATGAGTGTACAGATCAGCCTCGACCTACAACCTGGATCTACACGGACTATCCATGTGAACGCTCCTACAGTCCCACTTGGAACAGAGCTTTTTTTCCATCCATACCTTTTCTCCATTTAATAAAAGTCAAGCCTATCAAGATCTTTTTGAATTGTGCTTCTGTCTTCCAAGGTACTAGCTAATCCACCCAATTCTGTGCCATGAGTGTACAGATCAGCCTCGACCTACAACCTGGATCTACACGGACTATCCATGTGAACGCTCCTACAGTCCCACTTGGAACAGAGCTTTTTTTCCATCCATACCTTTTCTCCATTTAATAAAAGTTACTTTGATTCTGGTGGCTGGGTAATCTGGGAGTTGTAGCTCAAAAACCGCATTTCCCAATCTCCCAGATCTCATGTCATGTGGGTAACTGGAGGCAAGATAAAGGTCAATGAAAAGAAATAGTTTGGGGGAGGTCATGTTTATAGCTTGGGAGCATTCCTTAAGGTTTCAAAGATCTCTTGAATGGGGAAGTAACGTTGCCAAGAGAAGTGCAGCAATATTCACGCAACTGGAGGAACTAGAACTGTCTTCATTCGTAGTTCCTTTTATGGCTAACACTGTTGAACTGTTACTTTCTTCATTTATCATTTAATGAACAGGTAGTGAGTAAGTACAGGATATGAATCTCTCACAGGTCCTGCTCGTGTAAAGAAAAGTAGCAGGAGAAAGTATTCAGCATTCAGAGTGAGTCAGCTCTTTACAACGAGTGTAGGCATTGTGTTTATGAGGTAAATATAGCATCTATTTAGCAGCTGCTACAGCAGTTCCGGTTTTAAGTTTAGTTGGCTGAAAATCTTTTAAGCTGCTTTTTAGAGAGAACAGGCCCCAGAGGGATGGTGGAACTACTGATAGATCGTTATACCAACATAAGTGGACACATTGGCTGTTTGGAGGTGCTCCTCTGTAAAGTACAGCTCGCTCAGTGGTTTAGGTCTCTGGGTGCAAAGCCAGAGGTTGGGAGTTCGATTCCCCCACTGGGCCTCCCTGACAGGGAAATGACTTGATGATCTATAAGGTCCCTTCTAGTTCTGCAGTTCTAAGAAAAAGATGATGATGAGCTATTTCTACTACTCGGGCATGTTAGTTGAAACTTTATTTAAAGGAAGACTTGAAGAAGAATGTTTTCAAAGCTCACTCAGAAACCTGTGTACTGAGGCAAGGTGAAAATCTACAAGAAATTCTGGAATTTGTGGTCTAAATAGCAACTTTTCCAACCTCTGAGAAGGAGTCTAAGAATGGACGAAGCTTTCTTACTCTGCCTCTGCCAAAGAAAAAGACATCTGTTTTACAGAAGCTGCCTCTTGATGCTGTAAAGAGGCATTAGCTGATGGCAGGCAGGATATGAGTAGTAGATTTCGTTTAATCATCCTCTCCCGTCCAATATACTTCATCTCCATCGTGCTGCAGTGGTAGATTTCTGCACCACGTCTGCTGCTTGCTGTGTGACTCAGCCAGATCTTTCAGAAGAATCTCCCGCATCTGGGAAGGAACCACAGACCCGACGGAGGAAAATGAGTTGGAAACATCTGTTTTCTTCCCAAAATGAACTGGGCATCTAGATTGTGGGAGACAGCCTTGGCCCCGGGAGGGAAGCAGCATCTGGAGGAGAACAACGCCTGGTGGAGAGACCAGAAGCAGGAAAGTGGAAACAAAGATTCTTTAGGTTTCTGTCTTAGGCACTCTGGATTGGAGAAAAAGTCCTAAATTTTTGGAAAGGGTTAGTGCTTCTCACATACTAGCTGCCTCTGGCTCTGGAAAAGGCTTGGATCATCATTGTTTTGATTTTAGGACTGCAGAGCTGGGAGGGACCCAATGGATGGATGGATGGATGGATGGATGGATGGATGGATGGATGGATGGATGGAGGGATGGA